TTTTTATGAAGACCAAGTGAAGAAAAGGAGACTGGAAACAAAGCAAAGGTTAACCTTCTCATTCTTTCTAACTCTTTCTAAATGGCAAGTAGAAGTGAGCCTTTCTACTTGCCATTTTATTACCAAGAATTTACCACCATCTTCAAATTAAAGAGTTGCCTTCCAACAACAAAAAGCACAAGTTTGCAAACTGCCTGAATAGTAACACACCACGTGTATGTTAAATATCGAACCACAAAGTGGAACAGAGAAAATATTTGTGAGAAATATTTACTGTGTTTTTTGCTTGTCAAATTTAAAAGGCCATTGGACTCCATAAAGGTTGTGACAGCAATAGAAGTAATGATGTAACCATGAAGCAGCAGCTGGCAAACTGCTGAATAGTGTGAATTATGCTTTGGAAATTGTGTAATGTATGGTCTGAAATCGAGCAAAGTGAATAAGACCTAAATGTAAGCTGTTCTCTACAAAATCCATTCTGAACTTACCACACTAAGCCTGGCATGAAAAAGCAGAGCAACTTACTAATTTTGAAGAGCAGATTATGGAATAAAGAAAGAAGATTGGCTCCAACAGTTTTAGGAGACTGCATAGTTTTGTTTACCTAGAACATTACCAAGGCAGTAATCAATTCCGTATTAGCTCCAAATGTTATTTTGGCAAAACATTGAATCCAGGCATACTGGATGCCATGCTCCCAGGAGGCTGCAGGGAGGCCTCCTAAGCCCAAAAATGGGGCCTAGCCAGCCTCCCTGGAGCCTCCTAGGAGGGGCATGACATTTTCAGCCTAGCAAGCCTCCCTGGAGCCCCCTGAGAGCAAAACTGGGGGGGGGGGGTGCACCAGACCCCCCTATGCCCCGTTTTTGGTCTAGCAAGCCTCCCTGGAGCCTCCTAGGAGCAAAAGCAGGGGGTGGCACTGGACACCCCCCCCCACGTGCCATTTTTGCTCCCAGGAGGCTCCCCTACACTTACCTGGGAGCCAGATGGGCCTCATGGGGACTCCTGGGAGGTGAGGGGAGGGGTGGTCAGGGCCAGCTGTTCTTCAGAACTACTGGTTCACCGAACTGGATGTAACATTAACATCTGGTTCATGTGAACCGGCTCGAACTGGTAGAATCCCACTTCTGAATTATATATCTTATATGATATATAAAAACCCTGTGATTGCTATTGGATACCTATAACAGAATGTTTTCAAGAAAGAATTATAGTTAAAGAATTATATAATATTATTATGTTATATTATGTATAATATATATGAATGTATATATATAGCACCAGTTACATAAGACAGGGATCCACCAACAATTCTATCAGCCTGGATAAGCAGGAGGATCTTCAGTGAGAACTTAAACATTTTAAGTCAAAGTAACCCACTTTCACTCTGTGTTTTTTTGCAGGAAAATTTGGCGGCTATCTTGATTCTGTTGTACAGCTCTACTTCAAAAGAGATGCAAGAAAAAAAGTTTAGAATGTATTTCAATGGGATCCTTGAAACTACTATGTTTGCTGACACTTTACAGGCAGTTACCTGACACTTTACAGGGAGTTCCCTACAATTTTCATTTTGCAAAATCAACAAATAAAAGAGCTACAGTTATTGGAATGCTTGCCAATTATGTCCAACTGTAGCATATTTTATCAAATTCAAAATTAAACCTTGCATCATTCTGAATTGAATCCTGCAATTGAATCTATTCCTCATGTATGCATTATTAAGCATGCTCATGTGGTACCTGAGAAGGGATAAAATGTGTTTGTCTTTATGGTGTCTCCCAAGTCAGCTTAGGTCCACTTTTCAAGTCCCACTTCAAGATTCAAATCCATATAAATCAGGAATATTATAGCAAAGAGCATAGAATTACTCAATTATCCTTAGGCTGTGGAATAGTCTTTCCTTTGAGGTCTATAATAAATTAGAAGAACTACAAAATATGACTTTTTTGCTTGAATTGGTCCTCTTTCAGATTTTCTTTTTCTTTTTTGCATATCTTTGCCACTGAATATAATCAAACTATATGTGAGTCCTGTGGATTTATAGAAGGGACCCTGATTATGCAGAAAGTATAACAATGAAACTCTGGTAATATTTAGCAGGGAAGTTATTCAAAATAAATTCCTTCTCTGTCCAAAAAGAAGTCTTGTGCTAATTAATATATACCGTAAATATTGCTTTAATACATGTATTGTTGGAAACAAGTCCCCCCTGACAAATCAATAATGAAAATTGGATTTTAGAAAATCTCCTCACTACCTATGGCTTTGAGCTCCTCTTCCACCCCTAACAATGTGGAAAACCACTGTCCAACAGCAATATCTTATGCACTCATCTCTCATGATAGATCATTTTTGCCCTGATTGTCCTACCTATACAGGTGCCAGAAAGCAATGCTAAATTTATAATGCTTTCTGACAGCATGGCTTTCAATGTTCAATCAAAAATCCACATTCCTCCATCTTAACATAATGTCTTTCCATGGATTAAAATAGATTGTTTCCATTCAAAGAAAAACTGTCTTCTTCCCAACTGGATATATCTTAACAAGCAACCTGAGGTTCCTGAGGAATGTTCATAGCTTAACTTGATATTCTAACATTCTGACAGTCATCTTTTTCTTTTACTATTCTCTTAGCTGTGAATATGGTGTATCCACAATGTCCTATGGCTTACTTCTGTCACACTTTCTTTAGTCCTGCATGACAGCTCATCAGTAAGGTGTCAGCAGAGAAATGCCTACATGCTGAATATGTCATTAGTGCATCATTGCTCAAAGGAAGCCAGACTACGTGAACCTGTTTTGTAAGAAGCCTGCAGAATATCTCCTAAATTAGACACAATAGAAATTTAAGGATTTTTTCCCCTCTCTGCAGTTCTCTTTATGGATCTAATACTAGTATCTATTTGTTCTATAAGGCATCTGATAAGTCACAGTCCCTTCATGGAATACAATGTAACAAACTTTAATTCAATATATTCCAGATACTTATATGATTTTTCTTGCCTAAAGATACGTTAGCTATACTTGTAGATAAAATAGCTGTTTGTACACTTCCCTCTTATTTCTCAGTAATTCTGCTGTGCTTTTAACCTGATGATTCCTCATCTAGATGTGCAGTGATTTTTTTTTTGAAAAAAAATTCAGAATGGATGAAAATGTTGCTTTGAAAATACTGAGTTCTATGAATTGTAATTTAAAGCTTGAATTTCTCTTCATTGTCATCAAGAGGAAAATGAAATGGTCTTAAGCCTTTTTCTTCTCAGTACAACAGTAGCAGAAAAAAAAAACAGGGAATATATATCTACCTATGTAAAGCTATCTACCTCTGATGTTCTGTTTTAATATATTTTTATTAAAAAATTAATTATAATAGTAAAAATTAATGCAAACTAAACAGAAAGAGAAGTGAATGGAAAGAAGAAAAAGTGCAGAAAAAAGAAAAAGAAAGAAAAAGAAAAGAAATACAGTATATAAAAAAGTGATTTTCTACCTTCATCACAACAAGCACACATAAATTTTATAACTCTTCATAGTATAAGCTTAAACAGGTATTTCTTCATCCTATATCCCATTTATAAACAAATCCATAAATCATCCATAAAACTGTTCAATTCTGGTGACAGCAAAAAGTTCCTAAAGGGTTGCCAGAATGTATGTATGTATGTATGTATGTATGTATGTATGTATGTATGTATGTATGTATGTATGTATATGTATATGTATATGTATATGTATATGTATATATATATATATATAAGTCTTTTTGTAACCTTGATCAATTAAACCAAGTTATATTCCTTCCTTTTACTTCTACAAGACTCACTTTTTTTAATTCAATAAAATATTGATGTATCTATTTTTCTTTCATTAAAAACTTTTAGACATAATCTATTCATAGAAGCAGACATAACAGTGATAATGTTGATATTGTAGTTACTAACTTCTGATTCCATTCTTCAAAATCCTCCTTTAATATTTCCAGTTTTAAGTTTTGTAACACTTTATAAATCCCAGTATTAACCGACACAACACTTGTGTTTTTCCTTCTGTTTTAAATCTTTACTCCCCTCTAGAGCCCAATTTCTAAAACTAACATTTATCTTTTGTTTTGATTTGCAGTTCCCAATATAGCCAGAATCAATCTGATTCCCATGAGAAGCTGTTTATTTGTATAGTTAATTCTAATTTATAGTAAGTCAGAATAGAGCTGGAAGAGACCTCAGAGGTCTTCTAGTCCAACCCTTTGCTCAAGCAGGAGATCCTATACCATTTCAGACAGGTGGCTATCCAGCCTTTTCTATGCAAAATATAATAACGCAGAATATTTTTAGGTTGCTCTTGAATCAGGGCTATACTTTTGGTTTTCTTTCTATTATTAAATGTGTTCAGCATAATTAGGATGTTCAGGTTTGTTTGAGTTTCTAGTTTCAAAAATGTAGAAATGCACTGTACTGGCTTTTGACAAAAAGTCAAAAAGTCAAAAAAAAAAAAAAAAAAGGTTCCAGGGAGACCTATGAAAAGATTTGGGGATTTCCAGTATTTTTATTTATTTATATTCCACCATTATTATTTCTATAAATAAGTCAAGGGGTGAACATACCTAATACTCCTCCCACCTCCTATTTTCCCTGCAACAACCCTGTGAAGCAGGTTGAATTGAGGGAGAGAATAATTAGCCCAAAATCATCAAGCCAATTTTCAAGTCTAAGGTGGGGTTAGAACTCTCAGCCTCATAACCTGGTACCTCAATCACCGGACTAAACTGGCTGACATTGAAGGTTGTCTACATCTGCTTTGAACTGGGATTACAACCGTCAGGAAGTTCTCTTCTTGCTTCAAACAGTTAGAACAGAAGGACATAAATAATATTAAGGGTTTTTGTCCTTAATCCTTAACTTCATACCTTAACTTTTTGCTTGTTTACTTCAGTGGCGTGCAAGTCATTTAATTACCAAAATCTTCCTGAGCATGAGCATACCATCATGAAAATGTGGAACTTACTGAATCCATTAACATCTTGACAGCCTGAAATGAAAGTGTCTTCATTGTGAGCAGCGCTTTTTGTAGCACTCTTGTCTGAAGCAGCAACGGGTCCCATTTCTCGTTGACTGCTGCTTTGGGTTTCTTTTTGTTTCTTGGCTAGTTTCCTTCAAAGTGTTTGGAAGAGGGAAGAAATCGGAATTAGTTTCCTTCATAAATTAAAAGAAATTGAAATAAAACCAAGTCAACTATTATATATTATATATATATAACTATTATGTATGTATACTATAGTATATACAACATGCAACTATAGTATATACAACATGCAGAGTTGTCCTAAAAGTGCTTTTTAAAGAGGCAATTGGACGTTCTGATTTTTCTTTGAAGACGTTTCACTCTTTCATCCAAAAGAAACTCTGAGTTGAAGAAGCTTCTTGGATGAGAAGAAAAATGTCTTCAAATAAAAACCAGAAAGTCTGGTTGCCTCTTGAAAAAACATCTTTGGGACAACCATGACCTGAATAACTGAGAATCTCCATAGACAACAAGCAGGGTTTTTGCAAATATGAGGATGCATTTTGATACATCTCCATTTGCAAGAGTTAACAATGGAGAGTGGATATGAAAGTAGCAATGGAGTATCATGGAAGTTAACAGCAGTCAAAAATTGGGTCAAGGAAAAAGGAGCACAATCAAATGGCACAGCAATGGTATCATATCAAGCAATTATATAAGCCTAATCATGGAAGCTCTTTTGATAATTTTGTCTCTGGTCAAGTATACTGTCCCTTAGAAATGCTGTCAGCCTCTACTCCAACAGGAAAAACAGTCTGCTGAGTAAAATATGTTTGTATGAGACCTTGATCCTCTAAATTTTTGCCAGTCTCCAAGAAAAAAAAATGGTAATAATGAGGCATTGATATGAGAAAAACAGCTGTATTTTTATTTTCCATAGATGAATGACAAAGTTTACCCTGACTAACTTTTGAATTTAAGTATATTTAAATTTATGTTAAACCTTGTATATAATTTAAAAAATCTAAACTTCCATCCTTGGTCTATCAGTCTAGGTCACTTATAGTCCAATACCACCTATAAAATACCAATAATTGAGTTATGGTTTTTTTACATGTGTTCAATTTCTAACCACTTAGAGGCTTGTTTCCACGTTTTTCTGATATACTGGAAGATACTGCAAATTAATTGTCTCCTTAATTTAAGACAAAAATAAGTTTTGTAGTAAGTTTTTACAAAGATACACCATTAAAATTTGTACTAACATCTTGCTGTTGGCTCAAAAAGAATCAAGCCTTCCAAATGAACAATAAGAAAAACTGCTATTTGTGACTCTGAAATACAAACACTTACAAAATGTTACTCTTAAAGAATCTCATACATTGTAAGGATCTAGAAACTAACTTTGAAGCAGAACTAGGAAAATTAACATTGTAGTGAACTCTTGTCTTCTAATGCTACTATCTCCTTTTCTATCCCAAAGGATGCATTGACAAAGTGAAGTATTGGTGCCAATGATATTGAGATGGGAGATACAATTTCAACCTATAATTTCATCCATGAACCCACTCTCTACTTCCCTTTGTACCAACAAATATTGTACCAACAAAGAAACTTCTGACTGCCATTTTGAATTCTTCCTGTATGTCAAATTTCTTATTTCACAATCGATAATAATTATAATTTGGATACAGATAAAATGGCATCACCACACTCTTGTAAATTAAAGGAGGGTTGAAATTGACATTTGGATAAGGTATTACTAGAAATCTGATGAGTCCCATACCCAGGAAAGAAACACTTCTGAGTCCCAAAAGGTATCAGTAACTTCTTTTCTACATTGGTATTGGCTTCTGCCTGATCTGTTCAAAGATGGAAGCAGGGACAAGAAAAAAAAGGGGGGGGGGGGAAAAGAGTTCCTTTGAGTCCCTTGTCATTAGGTCTTAACAGTGATATAATTGGGTGAAGAGGAGTGGGACAGATCATCACTCATTTGAAGCAGGTATTATGCAATTTAAAGATTTGCAATGCTATTTAAGATGTTACTTTAAAATTAGATATTAGATATTGCCTAATTAATATTAGGATTTTTATTTTTTTTAATATCAGGATGATGCAGATAATGCACAAAATTCCTAATGAATGAATGAATGAATATTCGCAATATTGATGTAGGTTGATCTATATATCCTGCTTTAATACTGTTCATGATGTAAGGACAGAGGAAAATTAACTTATGGGACATTAAACCATCACATTTTATGCATTTGTATAGAGATTTGTAAGATTTAGAAATGAATAAGCAAATGACAGGACACCAGCTCCACTTCAGAAACAGGAAAAATAATTCAGAACTCCCAAGTATAAATTTTGAGAGAAATTCCAAAGGAACTCTGGAACACAGGCACCTCACTAGCATAGGATTAATAAATCTTATACATGCTCATTACATCCTGACATAATATCTGCCAAGTTCAAAATGAGTGTGTACTAGTACAAACCATATGATACAGAATTTCTGCTTAGGAATTTGTTCTAATGTTGGAAGTGGGTCTTAAAAAACAAATATGTGTACATTTTGTTATGGTTTCATTACTCTGCAATGATTAATGAAATGCACAACATGATCCATTTCATGACAGTGTAGATGTGAGATGTGAGCCATTAATCTTTCACCATATAAGTACTAGTAAATGGGTTTCACAGTCTGCTGGAAAAGTATCATTAATATTGACACAGGAATGAACTTGTGTGCAGAGGCATGTCTTCTGTGAAAAGATATGAGGCTGTATACACACATCATATTTCCTCATGGTTAACTTACCTACGGCTTTTGGAAATAACCCAATTTTCTGGGTTTACTGTAGTGTAAACTAAACATTGCACAATAAATTATACCTAGGGGAACCTATGGGACTAATTCATCTGGCAAGTACTACTTTTGCACTGGGTAATAAAAATATGGTATTTTCCACTTTATGCAGTTCAAAGTAAACACAAAGCGTTAATACAGAAATAAAATAAATATTATTAGTAGGGTGCCAAAAGTCCATGTGCATAATGCTAAGTAATAACCCCAAAGGTCTATATGATTTTATACAATTCTAAATAAATAATAATAAATATTATAAAAAATAAATATCATAATATATAACCAATAATAGGTTCAGCAATATATTGTAGAAACTAGCTAAGTAATTGCCCAACCTATGCAGAAGTGGCATTCTAGATTGTTAATAGAATGCAGCTATATAAACTTAATTATTAGAGTTCCTTTGATTTCTCAGTCAAAATGTAATCTGAAATGATGAGCCTCTCATAATGAACATTTTAAGTTACTGAAATTAGCCAATATTGATATACTATTGAGGGACATAAACAACGATGAATATTGCTTATTAAAATAAATTTAAGTGATATATTGCAATAAATGCCTATACTAATTCCATTTCTTAAAAGAATTTATTTATTTATAATTCAATTTATGTGGCTGCCCATCTATGTAGTTAAACTCTGGATGGTGAACAAAATGAAAAAATAGCACTGCTTTACTGAGGAAACTCAGAAAAAGTCCATCCTTCCATATCATATGGTATCTGTGGAAACCATCAGCGGTACTTTTAACTCCATGTAGGGCCTTATAGATGATAACCTTCACCGTAATAGCACTTGGAAGCCATGCCATTCACATACCAGTAATTATATAGGGAAGGCATGAGTAACTATGAAGAGTGCCTGTTGATCTAAGGATAGATGCTACTGTTGCACAAGATGCATTTGTGTGAAAACTATCATGGTCACAGCTGCCACTTTCTCCTCAAGTGGGATTCACATTGCACAGCAACTTTATTGTCTCATTCAGCATTAATGATGGAAAATCACTTGAACTAAAACTATTTCTTCCCATCCAAACTTTTTCAGTCTTCAGACCATTACCATGGGGCAGAGATATTCCACTAAGATATACTGATGCTTAATTTCGTGCCAATAAATTATTCACCCAGCAGTTTCATATAGATATTAAATAGGAGTGGGTAAAGAATAAAATTCTGAGCTATTCTGAATTGTAGAACTGAATCTTGCCTTTCCTATCAACACTGACTGGAATCAGCCTCAAAGGAAGGTGGAAAAACACTGAAGAATTGTGTTTCCCACACTCAACTCTTTCAGCTGGCCCAACAAGGTACCATCATTGATATTAAAAGCAGCCAAGGGATGAAGGGCTAGGATTGATATATTTCCCTATCCTGAGCCTGTAAATTATTAAATACAATTGTTTCTTTGCTTTGCAATAGCCATATCATATAGTTTTGAATTTGAATGGCCCACAAAAATAGATTCAAAGCAGTGGTGGGATTAAAAAAAAATTATTACTGTTTCTGTGGGCATGGGTTGGTGGGCTTGGCAGGGGAAGAATACTGTAAAATATCCAGTCAGAGGTGGTATTTGCCAGTTCTCCAAACTAGTCAAAATTTCTGCTACTGGTTCTTCAGAACTGGTCAGAACCTGCTGAATATCACCTCTGATTCAAAGGTTTATCTGCAGTAAAATAATTCAAAATTACCTTGCTGCTTTTTAAATGACCTGAAACACTACTCTGGATTTACAAATTAAGAAAAAAAATTAGGATAATGCATGTCCTTTATCTAGATTACATATCACACAATAACCTGATATGCCAATATAATGATTCAAAGTAGCAGGAACTTATAATTTGCTTATATATTGAAGAAACCTAATGAAGCAATTTAAACCATTAGAGTGGGACATTAATGCTGCAACATCACAGAAGGTAGGACCAAATGACCTTTTTATAACATTTTAACAGGCCTAAAACAGATTTAAAATAAAGTAAGCATTTAGCCTATTGAAGACTTATTTTGCTTCTTATTTCTACTTAAAAATGTTGGTTTAAGAAAATAAGAAGGGCCCTGTTAGATCAGATGCCTGGCCCATCTAGATCAGCAATCTGTTTTCATAGCCAACCCACCAACTGTACAAAGAAGCCCACTAGTCTTCTAGATGACTTTCAGAGGCAGTCACACTGCCATCAAGGCTTAGCAGCCATGAATCCCCATGACCTCCATGAATTGTTGGAACCAATTCCACAATTTTTTATATGTTGTATTTTAAAAAGCATTTCTTTGTTTCATTTTTCCAGAATTCAATCACATTGCATTGATCTCTAATTCTAATATTTTGGGAAGGGAAAAACAGCTTTTTCTTGTCCACTTTATGCTCATCTTGCTTAGTTTTGTACACCTTAATCATGCCCTCGTCATTTGTCTCTTTCTAGACTAAAAGTCCCAAGTACCTCATTTTTTTTTCTTATAGGTAAGCTATTCGGATTATCTTATAGGAAAACTAAGAACTGTTTATCTTAGTTGTTCTCTTGAAACTTCTCTAGTTCTCTTATATCCTTTTTTTGAGGTGTGCTGACAAGAACTGCATACAATATTTCAGGTGCATCATTGATTGACATAAGGACATTATGATGTTGGCAAACTGTCTTTCCTCATTAATCACTGCTAGCTCTGATCCCATTAATTTATATGAGTAGTTAGGGTTTTGGGTACCAAATATATATCACTTTAGCCTTGCTCACACTGAATGACATCTGACATTTTGACACGCACTCTGCTAATGTGCAGAGATTCCGTTAGAGCTCTTCAAAGTCCTTTATTGTTTTTACTACTCTGAACAATTTAGTATCCTTAGTAAAGTTGGTGATTTCACCAGTCGTGCTCAATTCCAGGCCACCTATAAAGTATCTTTAAAAAGCACTTATCTTGGGACAGAACCCTGGGGGAACTCCACTAGTTACATTCTTCCATTGTGAGAAGTGTCAAGGAAAAAAAAAAGATAAAATTTAAAGTATTGAATGTGAGTTTTGACCTGTCAGTGTTTTGAGCTGTCTTTTGAGTGACAGAAGCATTTATCTGAAATGCTTACCTTCCACAAAGAAAGCAATTCAAATGCTATTTCTAAAGTCATGACAAGCTGTATCAGTGATAATTCATGTTCCCTTCCTTGACCAGTTTCTCAAAAGCACAACTGAAGCATCAAGGAAAAGTAACTTTCATCACATTAGTGTCAATCCTTTACAGATCATAGGCTTATGTAATATGAAATTCTGAAGAATTTCACCTGCCAGTTATCATACAGAGTGTGTATATAACTATGTTTTGGTCATTACAGAAATGACAAGGTGAATGGTGAAGAAAAAAAATCCCAGATGACTTTCAGAAGATAATTCAACCAGTGGCTGCTGAGATAAAAGTCATAGAAAAATCCTTATGTTAACTATTTTCATACATGGATTGCATTTTGTTGACAAACAGTAAAACTAGAATGTAATATATTAAAAGGACTTTTAGGCAAAAAGTGACAGAAGCCTCTTTGAAACCTCCTTAACATCTAATAAGTACTGGATTTTCAGTTAGATTATAAAATGACTACAATTATATAACATCTGAGATATATCTTTAAATTCTGTTAAAATATCTACTTTGATTTCACCTTTGAACCAGATAGTGAGTGCCATGTCAGTGTTTGACCAGGGTGACAGGATTTGGAATCCCTCAGAGAGTATCTTAAAGCTTTGAAGTAAATCTAGACCAACCATCTAGATCTGGCTTTATCTATCAAAAGAGAATGTACTGAGGTAAAATGTAAAATCCCTTGGAGGACAGGAAGAGTAACCATAAAATAACTAAATAAATGGAAAAGAACAAGTATTCACAAAGAAACCCAAATCATATTTAAATCCTTAAAAAGATATGAAATAATTCCTGCTGAACATCCTAAATTTACATGAGTAAGACAAGCAAGAGAGTGTTACAAAGAGGCCGAATTCCTCTGGGCCATATCAGGTTCACAAAGTCACAAAGGCAGCAAATCCAACCCTGTATGGTAAAATTGTCTAGGTAACTGTCAATAGGAAACCTTGTGATTTAATGATAAGGAGTCAGCATAATCATATTTTCCAAATGCAAAGCTTCTAAAATTATTGCAGTTGTACAGTGTTCTTTCCATTCATTGCAAAGATTTGACTTGAGAAATTTATCTGCACTTTTAAAACATATTAAAATGCTACAACAGCAATTCTTGTGGAATTATATTCTTAAAATGCAAGGAGAAACAATATTTTATTTATTTTCTATATTTGACAGATTCAACATGTAAATGATGACATTTCACAAAATAGTTGATACAAATTTATCCAAATGATTCTATTTGAATCACTTCTTTTAACAATTCTATTACTTTATGTATGAGATTGCAGTGGAAACCAAATATATGCTTTGATATATGATATTAAGCATGCAGAAGTTTGCATATAATCCCTGGGTATTCATTTTGCACATGTGAAAGTTTCAAAAGAATATTCAACAATATTCTGTCAGAGAAATAAAACTAGAACAGAAACCTAAAACCTAGCTTACTGTATAAGCATAGTGAATGTTTTCCCTTAGTAGGTGAATAGCACTCCCCCAATAGCAAACAATGTAAAACTTGTAGCATAAAGAAAAATCTAAAGCTGTTTAAGCCCCTTTAAAACTAGTCACTGTCTGAATGATGTACTAGTTCACAATACTATTAATTTCTACAATTTCTATTTTATTTCTACATTATTAGAAAAGCAGGATACAAGACTTAAACATTACAGGCCATCTGTAACCAGAGCAAAGACAGTAGGATCATTTTTTCCCTTAAGTTCAATCAGGTCCAATTCCCAGAGACCGTTTGGACAAGTCCCTGCAGTTGTCTTAGCAAGTTTTTTTTTTTTTCAGAAGTGATTTGCCACTTCCTCCTTCTTACTGCTGAAAAAAACTAACTGGTCCAAGGTCACCCAGCTGGCTTTATGCCTAAAGTGGAACATGAACTCATGGTCTCCCAGTTTCTAGACTGATGCTTTAATCACTACAACATCTAGACCAGGGGTTTCAAACTCACAGTGTCATGGTGGCATCACATGATGTATTGGGACTTTTTTCTCCTTTGCTAAACTGGGTGTGGGTGTGGCCAGCACATGATGCATCTGGCCCATGGACTGGGAGTTTGACAGCCCAGATCTAGACACTGTTAAATCACATTTAGGCTCCATGGAAAGCAGAGGATAATATAGACTAACAATTAATGAATGTACCATTTGTATATATTTTAATATGTTTAATTGTTTTATCTTTAAAAAGCATTTTCATTCAAAAAATACTAGCTGTTATGAACTTTTTGTAAATGAAAAGGTGGCTTAAAACCTAACCAGATTGAGATTCAAGTTAATATCGTCATCACACCTCATCACCCCAGTTTGCTATTTCCTCTTCTACCAAGTTGAGTGAATCATTTCAGGAAATCTAAATTGGAAATAATACCTTCTATCCCTGGATTGGTTTCTGAAATTCTAATGCTTTCTACAGCTAGGCCTAGTACTTGAATGACAGTGTATTTTTATAAACAAATCTAAAGTAGGTATGGCAAAACAGGTAATAATGGGCTTCACTTTTTGCGCCCTTGAGCTAGAGAATCTATTTGCTGGAAGGACACTGTGAATTCTTTAAAGAGAACTGAGAGATTGACTCTATGGTTATATTACACCAAATTATATTCATATATTCTGTCCTTCCTCTCCCTAGACTGTGAATAAGAGACAAAAGTTAATATTATCCTATTAATAGGGTAATATTAATCCATTCATTAGAGTAATATTAACCTAATGTTATAAACATACTAAGGCTGAACCAGAAGGATAATCATTTTTCAGGAAGCAAAAGAATTAATTTAAGGAGCAAGAAAAAAAGGAACTTAACTGTTCTTGCCTTTTATTAATTGACAAAAATCATAAGACTTCTATGAATTCTCTTTGGAGACAAAATAATATATATAAAATATGATAGCAATTCCCTGTTAAGTGCAAAAGATATTCTAAAACAGGATTATAGCTCATAGAGATATAAATAGTTGGAAATAAAGAAATGAACTTAAACAAACATATGTATGACTCATTTTCATCTTAAACACATTTGGCTCTTTTAAAAAAATGAAAAACAAACATTTGATAAGGAGAACCAGCCAAAAAGAAATCAAAGATACTGTACCTGAATAATTTAAGGATTAGCGGAGTCCAAAATAATTGAACTAAAATGCTAAGATATGTTTTTAAACTGTGGAAATCAAAATTTAGCAAAGTAATAGTGCAATAAGCATTTTTAAAGGTGGACTCTCAAACTGATTCATACATGGCACATGATATCCTATATGTGAATTCTATGAAAAGTTAAGTCTGAACATTTTATGGAAAAAACATTTAATTACTTTTGTTTTAAATTATGCAACTTTCTTAGATTTAATTATCTCTGTTAAAATATTCAATTGTGGCCTGATTAATACATGCAGGCATTTCTTTGAGATGCTGAGGAATTATATGACCAATACTCTTTTTACCCCAAACAATAAGACCAATGGGACCATATTTAATCAAAGTGCTGGCATGAACCACAGTTCTAATTTGATCCCTTCAGATGCACATGGCTGCAGATATTTTGAAGGATCTTACTTTCTTCATTGCTTCTATCTTGATTACAGCTGTGAATATGCAAGTGTTCAAATTTATCTTCTTTGGACACTTTCCCACAATGTGCAGTTTCAATAAAAGGGTGCCCAAATAGCAAATTATACAAAGAAAAAGGAACTAAAACTATTGAATATTTCCAAATGAAGATCTCCTAATGCACAGTATTGATTTTCAGGAATGTGAGGGACAAGAGTGAGAGTCCTGCCTGTATTCATTTCTTTTGAGCCTATTCAGAGAGAGGTGACAGTCAAAGACGAATGGGGGAAAATGAAGTGAGAAAGGTACGGATTATATCTGCACACACAACCAACTGTCTTGTGGTCTTCTATTTTTCTCCCCTTTAACTATGTGGTTGGGAATATTAATAGTGTGGGCATTAATGGAACTCTTTAAAAATAGTGAAGTAATACAAAAAAAATCAAGAAAAATATTTTATAAACAAAGAAACAAAATCCTGCTGCTCTACTGTGCATGCTTAAGGAAATGGTTATATCCAACTAGGTACTTACAAGTAATAGGAGTAGGAATATGCATTTCTTCTAAATATGCAGTCAGATGAAGGAAATGTCCAATAGTGGGGAAGAAGGAAAAAAGCATAATTAGACTTCATATCAAGGATTTTAAGTTTGAACTGTACATAGTATTGCAGAGCTGACTCTACTACCAAATTTGCTTTCATCACCTATAGTTAATGAATACTGGTCTAAGGCCTGGTTGCTACTTTTCTCAAACAGGAATGTTTGCATGTGACAAGTACAACTAATCCTAATGTTTTGTATAGTCCTGGGCAAGTCAGTTCACGATGCTTTGAGTTCCTATTCAAACAAGAGCAATATCTACCAATTGTTTTAAGCCTGTTTAGGCATGAAGAACACAATTTTAGAAGTAACTGAGGTCAAATTTAGACCTCAGTTACCTCTAAACTTGTGTTTTTTTTCATGCCTAAACAGATTTAAAAGAATGAAAAATTCATAAGCAAGCTTTTATAGGATTGAAGAAGGGGCTTTTTTGTGATTCTGGCAGCAACAATGGTTGTATTCCATGCATTCATTATTGCCATCTAACCTCTAGTTGCTAGTTTATAGAATAATCAGTAAATATTTTAATTTGACACTCTCGGAATGTCACAAAAGCACCAAATCACACTACAGAGAAGTCAATCACATTTAACCACATGAAGCCAAATAAGTGGAAAAGTTATCTTAGATCAGGGGTGTCAAATTCATGGCCTGTGAGCCAGATGTGTCACGTGCTGGCCATTCCCATCCCTGGTTTAGCGAAGGGGGAAAAAGTCACACTATGTCACACGACAACAATGTGATGCTGCAAGTTTGACACCCCTGTCTTAGATGAAGAAAGAAAGTGGGGGGAACAGTACAGTGACTAAAAGCAGAAAGAACAATCACAAAGTGAGAATAGACTTACTACATGAATAAAAAATTTGCAAGCTTTCCCAAAAATAATCAAGAGAAGGAGCAATGTGAAAACAGCAAGACGAAGTAATGAATTCTTTGCCTGAGCTCTTCTAAATACAACTTGATAATTCATTTCCTATATATTATAATAATGGAATTGCTTTTGCATATGAAAATGTAATAAATAAGCTCTGTACTTCATAACTCATAATTATGTATTCTAGATATATATATGCCACCCCTATAAGCAAGCGGATGTAGAATAATTTGCTGGGAAGAGTATTGTCTTGGTAAAGATTCGAACAATGTCAAATAAACTTGTAACTAGTAATATACACAAACATATTTAATCTGGACCCTTGTAAATCTAGGATTCTCAATTTAACCTGAATTGCCATGCATTATGAACACACATCTTGTATAATTGCACAGAATATCCCACTGGTACATCAACTCCTTTGAGCATTAAAATATCCATTTTGTGTTTTCTCAAACTATAAGTCAAACAAAGCAGCTATATAACATAGATTTTGTCAAACCACTATAAAGCACATGCATAGTTTAAATTAGTAAATTGGTGTCATGCCAGGAAATAATCTGGAAGAAATTATTTGTATCCTTTTTCCTCTCTCGAGGGAATTTTATTTGAAATATATATGAATAAGGCTTGCAGTTGTGCATAAGCACTTTGGAACCACACACATGTTCACAGTCAATGCACACAGTGTGTACTAAATTATCTGCTTTAGAAATAATAACTTTCAAATACTCCTAGCATTCAATTTCTTCCCCTGCTGATGATATATCATGTTCTTCTCACTTAGTCATTAACCTCCTGAAGTTCATCCATTCATATTGGAATGTGTTACACCTCGAAGTCACCTTGTAAAACAAGGAACAAGTTGTTCTCTTTTGACAAATGTGTCATAGACTATTACAGACAACAGACAAAAGCTAAAACTATACAGTGAACTACACTTAAATATTTTAACAGATTTAAAATATTACTATAGTTTCAAGGGATATGATTATTGATAGTGCTTGAATATCAGAAATCGCCAGCTAAAACATCTTTGTAACCAACCAACCACTGTTCTAAAGACAAAGCTTTATTTGATTTTTTTTCCAGGTAAACAGTTGGTGACAAGGTCTTTTTATCCACTAGATATTTGCAGACCACACAAAAGTAAAAAAAGCTTGGACCTAAGTATGTCGGACCTTTCTCAATTGAATAAATTGTGAACCCTGTAGCAGTCCAACTGAAATTACCTAAAACCCTCCAATGGATCCACCCTGTCTAGTTTATGTTAGTTTATTAGTTAGTTTATTAAAACCTGAACATACCTCTGACTTGAGACCTAATCAGGTCGATCCTCCTGTGCCATTGCTAATTGAAGGTGAACAACATTTTGAAGTTAAAGAAATTTTGAATTCTCGAAAACAAAGGGGTCAACTCCAATATTTGGTTGTTTGGAAACATTGTCCTCCTTCCCAGTCCGAATGGATGAATGAGAAGGATATTAGAGCTCCTAAGCTTATCAAGGCATTTAGTACTAAATATCCTGATAAACCCCAAGAAATAGTATGATGGTGTTACGTGTATATTTTCTGTTATCATCTATTTTTATCTTTTATAGGACTAACGCCTCTTTTGCAGGAGGGCCGAATGTAAGCCTACAAGATTTTCTTCCTTTGCTTTAAAACTTTTGGCTGTCATAAATAACGGGGGGAGGAGGGGGGACATGTTATGGGAAGCGAGCTGGAGGTGTTACAAAACAGAACTGTATAAGTTGGGGGGGGGGAGATTCCTGCTTAGGCTTCTATCCTATGCTATGTGCAGCCGCAACTCTTTATCAAAATATGTCAAGGTCAATGGACAGAGGCCTCATCACCACCTGGAGATGCCCACATGATGCTGTACACAACTTTTAATTGGATGAGCCAATTGAACTATTGGGGGTGGGAACGTTGCCAACACTTTGTATATGTGATTTATGCACTCATTTTCTCAGATTCAGAATTCTTTTGTGGCTACCACTTGACTTCCAGTAAAAGATATCTTTTCTTTAATTAATGGAGTCTAAGTATTTCTTTCTTGGATTTTGAATGGCGCACCATCTGACAGCAGTCATAGAAGACATCAAATGATTATGATGCTTGCTTTTATTAGAAAAATAGCCCCTCCCTCCAAATATGCACAATGTTTAAAGTTTTAGTACCAACTAAATGCCTTTTCAAAGAGAAAAAAATGGAGAAGTGCATCTTTGTTTATTGAAACAAAGATAAGATGCTGGATAAGGAAGGAATATCATTTTCATTTTTTCTTTGTACATATATACATAAAATTAAAATAAATATGCTTCTTATTACTCTCTCAACATTTTTTTAAAAGTTTCTTAATGAAGGTTTGGCCAGAACACTTTGTATTTATTTGTTTTATATTTTAAATGCATTTGCTTTATCTTGCCATGGGACTATACTTCTTTATTCCATCTTCCCACAGTTCTCATCATGAACACCTCCTGTTCCCAATGAAGCTATTTACTTTTGGAAAAACAAAAAAGCCAACAAAAATAAAGTATTTCAAATACAAATGTGTATTTAAGACAATGTCTCCATCATCTTTCTTTTCTTGTTTCTTCCATTTCCATTTCCAAGTCAAAGAGTACTGTATGTCCTGTATAAAATTATCCAACTTTCTGTCCATGTGCTCTTTGCACTTTTTATGTTATGTAGATTTGAAAAGGGATTAATTCAAATTGTACACATAGGGGAAAAAAATAAAAACAGTGAATTTTCTAAAGATTCATAGGAGACTCTCATTACAGATTCCAAATCAAAATTTTGGAGAGTAGTTTCTAGTTTCAGCTTACTGATAGACACAAGGTTAGCCTATGTTCCTGATGAAACTGAGCAAATGGGGACAATAAAACAATGGGGATAAAAATACCAATGGCACCATAGGTCATTTAATCTTTAATGTCAAAAGAATTTTCTCCACTATTTAAGTACAGATGGAAGCTTTTTTTCCCTCTGAGATTCACAAACTAGAGTAGAATGATCAAAAGACTCTTCCATGGTATTCATGGGAAAAGAATATATTAAATTAGTCCAGATGCATTCATGTATATGTTTAAAGAAAAACATTAAAGCCACAATTGAATTTGGGGAAAATATTCCAAGTACATAAAAAGTAATCTGATACTGATTCTGAATCATTGGAAAGTACACATTTCTACAACTATTTGCTTGATGCCCTAAATGATAATAAGCACCTTGCATTGATCCTATTTTAGTGATTGATTATGTGCGATCAAGTCGTTTTTAACTCCTGGCAACCACAGAGATAGATTTTAATATCTTCTTGCAATAGAAGAGATAGCTATGAATATAATATGGTTTGATCAATGGAGCAGCAGAAAGAAAAATACAAGGAATCTGGACTATTACAAGGAATAAAATTTAGTATTTCTATTTAAATGTAGAACATGTTATTTAGATTCCTTTAAGTTTCCTTTCCTGCTACGGGTCTAGTAATAAATTCTTATTTGCTGAAAGTTGTCTCACTGCTATCTGTGTGTGAAACTAATCTATTCTTAAAGGTTTCAGCATTTATTTTTGTGGATTTATTCAAAAGCACATTCATTCATTAGTATTTAAAATGAAAGTGTGATTATCCCCATAGAAGGGAGTTTATAGACGAGCTAAAAGCTGTTGTCCTACTTTCTACTTTTCACCCTTTCTATGCAACTAATCTTCAATTTAAAAATTAAAATGCTTGTTAAGTTTGAATAGACAAAAGAAAGAGGTTTTGTTCCTACAGCTTCTGTGACAGGCCGTGTGACCAGAGAAAACTATGTGGCTACATAACCAGTCCAAGAAGTTCTAGGAAAGAAGCCACTATTTTCAGAGGACTGCATTCCTGGAACCACATTAAAAAGATAAAAAAAGAAAGAAACCTCTGAATATTAGGGGCATTTAAAAAATAAGAATGGTAGTTGGTAAATTCAGACATAGAGAATAAACCTCAAATTTTTAAAGTCCTGCCTTCATTTACCTCTAACATCAATATTTTGATTTTAGACCAATAATTATCAGACTGAAAAAAGTAGACCACTAACAAA